CGGCTCATAATCCCTCTGGTCACTGTGAAGGACTTCTATCTGTCAATTGGTGCTGTATTTGGATGCAAAATGAGGCCCTCACCATTCTAACAAATTATTGTGTAGTAAAACCAGGTGTTTCAGTTTTTTTGTCCAACCCCTGTATATATATATATATATATATATATACACAGTATATTACACTTTATTTCAAGAGCTTTTTTTGAGGGAGGCAGTAATTAAACATTTTGGAAGAGAAAACCAAATAATGTGTAAAGCACATTATTTTTATCGTTTAAATTAACATGGTCCAAAAGCAACGGCTGGTGTAAAGTTTTAGATTTGGTTAAGTTGCGTGTCAATGCAATGATGACCATCATTCATGCTCACAAAAGGTCCGCAAATCAGCCTGAATTGGTCAAATTGGTGGGAATCGTTAGACAAATTACAAAGAAAACAACTTACACATTCAGATGAGACCACTTTCAGTCATGCCCAATCGAAACTGTGAACAAGGCATTTTGGCAATCACACAAATCATTTTAATTTAAGATGAATGTAATAATACACGCCAAATAGGTTAGCGGTAACAAACAAGGTTGGCAGTAACAAATAAAAATGGAATGCGCTTACTGTACGCCTATATTATTATTATTTTTTTTAATTTAAGCAAATATCAATGCATAAACAAATAAGACATTTTGATGTGACTTTCTTTTAATAAATTAGTATCAATAATAAAAAAATAAATAAAGATTATTTTTTAAATTATTGCTTATTGATAGTGTAAGGTATATTGTTACAATAATCTGTCTAAATATTATCATTAATTTACATTTACCATTTTATTTTAAAGCAGTAAATCAAAATTAAAGGGTTAGTTCACCCAAAAATGAAAATTCTGTCAGTATTTACTCACCCTCATGTTGTGTTTATTTGTTCTGCTGAACACAAAGGAAGATATTTGATATTTTATTAAAATGTTTTAATCAAACAGATCTCATTCCCCATTGACTACCATAGTATGTATATTTTCCTACTATGGTAGTCAATGGGGAATGAGATCTGTTTGATTAAAACATTCTTCCAAATATCTTCCTTTGTTTATAGCAGAATAAATAAACACATAGAGGTTTTGAACAACATGAGGGTGAGTAAATACTGACAGAATTTCCATTTTTGGGTGAACTAACCCTTTAACAGAAAAAAAAGCTTGCATACCCATGTCTTACATGTCTTGGCTTCTGAATTATAGACTACACAATGATTTGAAATTTAAATCAATTCAAGGGCAAACAAAACAATTGCTGTAGAAAGGAAATGCAAATCATGTTGTTGATGGTTTTGTGTGTATTGAAAAAAAACACTATGGGTTTAAAAAAAATGATATTTAAAAGAAAGAGAGAGAGGAAAAAAGCTAACTCTGTTGTTTTGTTGCTTTTCTGACTCTAATGAATTCTGTCTCAGGAGTGAAGTCTGTACCTGTACCAGCAAGGGGCGCTGTTGTTGCAATTTAAAAAGCAAAGCAAGTCAATAAATGGCTGCATCCAATATTGCATACTTCCCTACAATATAGTAGGCAAAAAGTACCCAGATGACTGACTACATCTGCCGAAAGATGTTTCTTTCTTTCCAAAGTGTGCATACGTGTTCATACATCTATACATTTCTATAGGTGTCATTTTAACCTTGTCAAGACATCATATTCAAATTTTGTCTTAAACGAGTAGTTCACTTTAAAAAAAACTTTTGCTGAGAATTTACTCACCCCCATGTCATCCAAGATGTCCATGTATTTCTCGAAAGAAATTAAGGTTTTTTATGAAAACATTCTAGGATTTTTTTCTCCATATAATCCACTTTACTGGTAACCAAACAGTTCAAGGTCCAAATGACTGCAAACTGTTCAAAGGGCTTTAAACGATTCCAGACGATGAATAAGGGCGAAACGATCAAGCGAAACGATCACTCATTTAAAAAAAAATTTTAAGTTTTATAAGCTCAAATGGTCGCCTTGCTCTGTTTGTGATGCACGTTCGTGACTCTCCTGTTCGTATTTGTTCATCAAAACAGAGTCAATTCATTCATTTCGTTCGTTGAATGAACCAAATGACAAGAAAAAAGATTTGTTCATTTTGATAAACGAGTTTGAGATCCTTTGCTTTAGATTAAAATTACACTTAAATGTATTTTTTAATTCCAGTTCATTTTAAATAGACTTCCTTCAATTCAAATTAAAATACGAATTCTACATTTTTGCTACGTCATTTCAAATTCAGAATCTGAATAATTCATTACAGACTGATATTAACTAGTAGAAAACAAACTAACAAACTGTCCATTGTGCTGCTATTGGATGTTAAGTAAAGCTTGTGACAGCAGAGGGCACCCTTGAAACAGAAAGTTTTTTTGCACAACTTTGCTTTACATTTTTACCATGTCTTTGTCTTTGTGATATTTAAATAAATGGATGAGAAACATTTTTCAAGGTAGTTAAGGAATTGTTGTTGTTTTCAGATATGGAAACTAACTTCAGTGTAAAATTTTTAACCTTGGTTATTATGAAAAAAAGTGTCACTGTACAAAACACAATACTACATGCAATGCAGAAAGGAAAAATGACAAAGCAGTTTTATACAAACAAGCACTGTGTTCAAAGCAAGCCAGGCACTTTAAACAACAGAATTCAATATTAAAAAATAATCTACCTCCAGATCATTCCTGGACTCTGAAATTTATCATGAACAAATGTTCAAGACATATATTCAAAGAAAATTCTGTAAGAAATGACTTATGTGACTAATGCTTGATAACCATGATGCTGAAAAAGTCTTAAGCTGGCTGATATTATAACTAAAAGCTGCTTACAACAGCAGTGGAATGGCAAAGCAAAGCACATGACTGAGAATGACTCTCTAACATGCACACACAGGATGCACTGACCTCTCATACTAGCAGCTCAAACTTCAAAGCCAAGCCAAGTAGCGTTGTTTCAGTGTCTAGGCATAACCAACAAGTAATGATGATGACTTTTGATAAAAATTATCTTATGAATCAAACAACTTATACAGCTTCTGAAGCTATGCATGTCTTTTTCACCAACTCTGAGTTCAAAGGTGCCAAATGCACACCAACCAACAAAATGCAAACGTATGTTGTGCATACATACATTGAGTAACGTTATCCTTGGTGTCCTTGTTTCATCAGATCTTGAAGCATCAATGTTAACATCCCAGCTTGGAACTTTTCCTCAGCATGGCCCTGTATGTATTGAGTCTCTGAAAGGGAAGTAAATATATAAAATATATATTTAGATTTTTCTTGCATACTAACAGTGCCTGATGTACCAAGTGTCTTATATTTTATTGTGCTTCATGTTTTTTTTAAATATTTATATTTTATTTATAAATAACAATCCATTTATAAATATTTTTTATCAGTTTGTTATATAATCCTGTACAGAAGAAGAAATTGAAGCTTTTTCAGTAAACAAACTGTTTAAATGCTTTTTTTTTTAATGCAGAACTTTTATATAACTACCAACTCAGGGAAGTTAAGCAAAGGTGTACAAACAAACAAACAATGGTAAACTAAAATGCTATTTGACAACAAAATTACTGACCTCAGCACTTTGACGACGTCTTTCTGTTTTAATGGAAGAACAGACATATGTGTTTTTGACAACTGCAGCTACAACAAGTGTAACTAAACAAACGCGGATTTACTTCAACAACTACGCTCTTGATAGAGGGGAAAACATTATCTGGCGTTGTTTACAAGCTCTAGCTACCGCCAACAGCGCTCAGCCGCCCAACCCATAGACAGTAAAAGAAAGGCCCAACCACGCGCGCGCAGTGCCTTGTGGTCCAACGGTTTTTAGGCTTAGAAGTTTTTTAACTTATCCTTTAACTTATCATCGCACCTTTAAAATGCTGAAAAAAGGTTGGCACGATGCTGAAAGACATCCATAGTGCAGGTTTACACCAGGTTTACACTGAAAAAAGCAATGAAACGCAAAAAACGTGCTTTTTAATTTATCTATTTATTTATCAAGTCACAAATAAAAATAGAGCATATAGTGATATATTAATCTGAAAATGTTATGTTAAATAAAAATTAAAAAAAGCCAGAACGTAGTGGCGCAGGTATGATGTCATTTTGTGGGCCAACCAGCAGTTATTAGCATCATGCTACAAAAACCCCCTAAACCCTATTGGATTTTCCATTTGGCCTAGTGTTTGCAACTTTTTCAAGACATGTATTTTATGTTGTAGAATAAAACATGAAAGTGCATTGAGCTTGTGTTCACCACAGACTTTAAACCATTTAACCAAACCCCCATTGAATTTAGGACAAAAAAGCTAAATGCTAACACAATTCTCCATTTTGGCCCACAAAGTAATGTCATACCTGCACCACTTTATGTCATGACATGAGAGAGGGGGGAGTTATTGATTTCAAGGCAACAAAAAAAAATGTTTAAATGTTGCAAAACTCCATAAAAAATGACCAGAGACCAGCGAATATGTAACCTTTAGTTTGTTTAATCTTGATTTAAAGAACATATCTTTTAAGCTCAATTAAGGAAAATGTAAGTTTGCAGGGGTTAACCAGCATATTTAGATTTTCCATAAACATCCAAGTCATTTTCTTTACAGTTGACGTTAAGCTATAGTATATTCTTTCTTATATTTTATAGTGTTCTGCAACCTTTAGCACATTAGTTGGTCCTGCTGCCATGGTCAAACACTTGGTTTGAAACTCAAAACTATAGTCCATTGCCCAACACTCTTAATATTTACAAGGCAAGTAGGTTACACAGCATAGCATCTAATGCAATACAATGAGAAAAAAATGTCATAATCTAGTCCTTTTAACAGCAACGAGAAAGTGGATTTATCCACTATTAAGTTACAATGCTTCTCACAGAAAAGGAGCCAAGCAATATTTAAGCCACATTATGGGCTTCTTGCAGACAGTCCACTTTTGAATGAGACCCTATTAGCAGAAACAGACTTCCATAGCTTTTCATACAAGCAAGTTTAATATTTGCCCTTTTACAGGTCGAGATAAAGCACAGCATTTGTGTAACTCAAATACAAGACAGATTCACATTTGTTACATTGCTCAAAAGAATGTCAAGACGCAAATACAGTGAAATTGTATCACAATAGAAAAGGGTTCACAGGATCGAGGGGGCTGCTTCTGATAGTAGTGCATTCCAAGATAGCTTAAACCTTGCTACAAACTGGCAGTGTTTCAAAATTAAAACAATAAAATGACTTGTAAAGCACAAAATAAAAACAGGCAAATCAGGTGTTCTAACGAAAAAAAGAAAAACATTAAAGTCAGACTAAATGCATCACAATATTTAATAAAAACAATGGTAGAATTAAAAAAAGGAAAAAAAAAAAAGTTTAAATTAAAAGAAACCACAAAAGGCCAATAAACTGGCATTTCCAGAATGCAGAGAACAGTCCAGTGGCCTTATACTAGAGGATAGCTTCCAGCTGTCGCAATGCCACAATGGTTATTTCGGTCTTTAGCCATGTAGATGTAGCCTTTGTTACCCCATTTCTCAGTCCAGCTAAAGACACAGAAGAAAGTAGCATGCAGTTAAGGTTGTGCCTGCAGTTTTACGTGTTATTCAAATCAAACTTGAGCATCATTAGGAGGAAATCAGTAGTAGGCCAAATCATACCTGTTCTTTACAATCCAGTATCTCTTCCCAGCAACATCAGCACCCTCATAACCGTAACCAACCACCAAGACTCCATGGTCAAGTTCTTCACTGCTGCACTCCTTCTCATAATAGATGCCTAGAGTAGAACAATTAGAAAGAAATTAAACCACAAAGAGACTGTCAATTATATTTAGATTTAAAGGCAAGTCATGTAGTTTTGTAATGGTTGTGCATACAATTTAAATAATCATAAATTTAGTCAGTTCTCAGGGTTATCAACCACCTACCAGACTGGTAGAACTGGAAGGATTCATGTGCAGCATCAATAGCAACAGCTATAGGACCCACAGCAGCAACAGCCTTCATCAAAGCATGCTCTTTACCACTGGGAATGTCCACAAAACCAGTATCATTAGCAGCATTATAACTGGGGTCGTAGCGGCATGGCTGGTTATCCTGGGAGCACAAAAGAAAAACATTGTACATTACATGTGATGTTAATAAATACTCTGATACATGAGGAAAAGGGCCTTGACACTAACTATAGGTTCACTATGATCTCCAATCAGAAAGAGCACAATTGATTCTTTACCGTTGCAAGGTAGGGATACGACTCTTCAGAATCCAGCCCATTGTTGTCCTGAACATACTGGAAGGCCTGGTCCATGAGGCCTCCATCACAGCCATGATTGCCCTCCGGCCTAGAACAGTCCACCAAGTTTTGCTCACTCAAAGAAACTAGCTTTCCCGTTTTACGGAACAGCTGACCCTCCAAGGCACCCGTTGAGCTGAAAGCCCAACAAGAACCACATCGTTTCTAGGATCAAGAAACAGGAATTAGTTACCGAAGAGTGAAGCAATACATGCACATTTTACATTAACAGATACAGAATAAACAAAAGCTCTAAAAAAAAAAGTTTGATAAACTGCTTACTTGGTCTTTAACACGGGTAACATAACCCTTCTCTCTCCAGTCAACTTGTTGGGGGGCTTCAAAAAAGCTGGGTTCCATAAACAATGAGCCTTTTGACTTCCGGTTGGGGTCATGACTGTAACCATTCATCGCCTGTTTGAACTCCTCATTTGTCTAAGAGGGAGCATGCAAACAAAAGGTTTAATTAAAAAAAAAAAAGCCTAGCAGACCAAGGTGACAATTGATCCCAGTGTGAAGTATGAAAAGTATTATATTTTACAACAGATCCATTCACAAAATGAACAAGAAAAAAAAAATGCTTACCATGTCACCAAATTGGTTCATGCCCAGTCGGAAGGAGTGTTTGCCCACGGAGTGCTCAAGGTTATGCAACTCAATTTTTCTGAAGTTCTTCTCCCACACTATTCTCCTCCAGCCCTCTTCTTTCTGAAGAAGCGGTCATTTTAGCCATTGCAAAATAGAATTTCAGTGCAAAGACTTGAATTGCTTTTCCTTTGTTTTGAAGCTGATGTCTGGTTACAAGCTCTAGTTAGTGCTAACGTTACCCACCTCGTGGTAGTTTTTTCCATGCCAGCTCTTCCAGAGGTGCCAGTGGTCATTTAACTGCTGGTCTAAGCTTGGAGCAGCAAACACTGCACTCATGCATAGCGCAAGGAGCGAGCCAAACATCATCCTGCCTGGAAGCCTGTGACAGAAGAAAACAAGACTCAATTTAAAAAAAAAAAATGGTCACAGAGGTGAGTTACACAGAGTACAGCAGTAAACATTTTATCCAATTACAAGGAGAAAAACCTCAGTGCATATTCCAATAGTTATTCCAAGTTAAGAACACACTGAACATGTACAGGTAACAAAGCCACATGTAAACAACGCACAATTAAATCCTTCAAAATGTATAAGGATACTAGAAAAGTTTAAACAAGCAAATGCTCAGTTTTTACAAAGGCAATTTATCCACTAAACCCAGGAAGCCTAAATATAATTTGAACAACTCCGAAATTAGAAACAATAAACTTACCTTTCACCAATGAACGAAATAACTGACTATCATTGTTTACAACTGAGTGGTTTTTAAAGTGTGCCTGAACATAGAGCCGTCGTCTCATTGGCTGAGGGCAATGATTACAGCCATGTTTACAGCCAATCATGTGAAGCAAGAATTTCATCCATTCGTGTGATCAATAAGCGTCATAAGATCGAGAACTCATCACTGACACTGGGCTTGCTCTAATAAGATTAATCGTCGCTTACAGTTTTATTGTAGGCTAATTAACATTTTTAATTGCTGTTTAAAAAATAATAATTGATTCTGGGACTCTTTGTTTGGTGTTTTGTTACATTTTCACGTTTGCTCACGTTCAGAGAAGCGTGTTTCTGTGTCTGACAAACATGCTCGGGCATACAATAATCAAAGTGAAAACACTTAAAATTCCCTAGCTAAGCGTTTGAAACATAATCAGTGGCTTGTGTTTTGTATGACTCTTAAAATACTACATTTAGCAGCCGCTACTGGCATTATCTAAGCTTGGTCTTCGTCTTTCAGTTGCCGAGACGTGCACATGTGACATTATTTGCATACAAATTGTCAAGTTTAAACCTTTTTGCTCTTAAAATGTCTAAGAACATGTAGCCTACTAAATATTATTTCTAAATCTCTATACAGGAACATCTCCAAAAAGATTCATGAATATTGTATAGTTATTTAATACAGTTTTATTTCTTTGAGTGCTAGTCTTTAAGGAGGATGGCTTGAATGAGTCTTTATTAAATGCTGTCAAATCAAAGGATTTGGTTAATTATAAAATCATTAATAAAACACACTTTGACGGTCATCAAAAACCACAGCACAACCTGATATTTCCTGCATTCAACATATAGAAACACAGCAAAAGGAAACTGAAACAAAATCTGTGATCTGATGTTTGATGGAGTGAGAATCTAAATTTACATCTAAGCCTAGCCAGTGTAGTTTAACAATGGCAAAACCCTTGGTTAGACCCTAAAAGACACCCAATGTTACCTGTTTTGCTTTGCATTAAGTCATACCATGTACAAAACCTCTTTATTTGTTATCTTTTCATTTCTGAATAGGAAACAGTGACATGAGAGTTTACCTGTTTTATAATGGCTGCATTGTGTGACTGCATGATTAATTAGGTCATTAGAAAATGATGTCATCAGAACTTGAAAGTAGGCAGAACAAAAAATCAGAAAGAGTGGAAATCAGACTTCAAATGATGAAAAAAGCAATCATTCTGCTCCTCCTCGATGAACTGTTTAAAATAGAATGACCTCTCAGAAGTCAGGAAGTTGCTTTTCTTGTGGTCATCAGAAACTGAGTAAAATGCGCCACATGTAACTTATGCCATTTCTTGAAAAAAAGAAAGAAACTTCACGTACTTCTACTAAGTTAGTAATCACATTATTGTTAATAATTGTTTTAGACTTGTAACATTTGGTTATTTATTTATTTAAAAAAAACAGTTATTTATATGAAATGCAGACTCAGTCTGAGTTTGAATAATTTAATACACTTTCACTATCTAAACACCAGGGGTAAGGTAAGTTGGTAGAATAAATGATGGTGTTTTTTAATTTATTTTTTTACACTTTTGTCTTCTGCAGTTTACATTGATTATTACCCTACACTTCAGACCAACAACATATTAGACTTCAATCACAATTACAACTCATGGACTGCAGGGACGGATTATGACTTGCAAGTCCCCGGGGCCAATTATCTCAAAGGGCCCCCCTCCCACTATTTTTTTCACGTTATTTTAGCTGTGCGTTCATATCTAATAGAATGTGAAAGTTATGATGATCATGAAACCGTTCTCAGTCTGCGTCAAATGTCAGCGCTAAAAATACAGGCCTAGGGTTTACAGAATTAAGGCATATAGTGGTGGAGGAAGTACTGAATCTCAGTACTTAAGTACAAATAACCAGAGACATATTACTAATACTAGTAAAAGTAGAAGTAGCCTACCACAATGAAAACCCTACCAACCTCCTGAGACCCTGCGTGCACATACGGGGACATCACATTTTTGGTTCTGTGCAGCATAATACTTAATTCTGTGTGACTGGAACATGTTTTTCACAAACGAGGACACTTACACTGCCATCTGGTGGCGTCAGAAGAGAAAAAAAATTAACATAAATAATTTAAAGATGGCAGAGAAAACAGGTCACATGTCACGCAGCCACTCCAGACCAAAACTTCCACAAGGTAAACAATCTAATAACATTTCATTGTTGATTCTTGTTAAGTTATGCATAATAGTGTTGTATGTTTGAAACGGCATGCACATTTGACAAACTTTTGTAAAAATAAAGATTTACCAAGCTGCTAAAGTTGATGTCCCCATATGTGGACATTGGGACTAAGCTTCGTTGAAACTTGCAAAAAAAATGAAAATTTGTAGTTGCATTGAGCTTCGTGGCAGGCTCACACACTCGAGCGCGCGCACACACACACACACTCAACGGGGCGGGGCTTCACTCACGATCGCGCATGCACACATACACACACTTGCTCACTCGCACACACACACACGCGCGCGCACTCTCTCTCTCTCTCTCTCGCTCGCTCACTCACTCGCTATCGCTTACACACACATCACTCACTCGCGATCGCGCGCACACACACACACATACGCTCTCTCTTGCTCGATATCCACCGTGGTGGAGCTCTGAAAATCAAAAAATCCCCTGAAAAAGATGGGCTGATTTTTAGAATTGCGCATCCAATGGTGCACCTCTCCTGGGCACGAATAAAGCCCATGGAGGGTTCAGGGGCAACAGTTACACAGTCTTTCACACCGGTTAAGTGTGATCCACTGTTCCCACAGATAAAAAGAACATTTCTAGTTTGGAGAAGCAGAAATTTTGGAGCATTGCAAAAAAGAAATCAAATTTTCAATTTGTTTTGGATATGTTTTTTTATGTGGATATTATATATTATTATGGATATTATATTTCATTATTATATTTATTTTGTTTTTCCATATCAATTTTCAGAAGTTATGCATGCAAGAGTAACAATGAAAAATGTTCAGGCACAATGCTCATGCAGTAAAAAAAAATAGATTTGCACTTTTTTACACAATGGTGTATTGATTGTTTTCTGTGCATACAGACAATTTTTTGTTTTTTGTTTTTTCAAAAAGTGCTTCATGTTCAAATATAATATCTGGTTATATTTCTTGCTCCCTCCTAACCCCAAAAAGCTAAGAAATCTAAAAGCACATCAAACCAAAACTCAGGTCTCAAGTAGTTAAGATAGACCCACTGTCCTTGCATGAGGACATCATTTTATGCAAAAACTACTTCCTGTACAAAAACAAATTTTAGTTATTATACTTATTAGGTCCTACTTGTCCCAAATAGCAAGAAAAATTATAAAATGCACACCAGGCAAACTCTCGGGTCTCAGGAGGTTAAGTAAAAAGTACCTGCTTTTAAATGTACTTTAAGTATTAAAAGTAAAAGTATTTTCATAACAATTTATTTTCTTAATGTCTATATTCTAATAATTTGGGCTGTAACAATATGCAATGTGATACGTAGACCTACACCACAAAACTAGTTGAGGATAAATTATTTAATATTGGGCAATTTCATTGTTATAAACGGGACATTTTTGCAGTAAAAAAAATAAATATAAATTCTCAGAAAATGCATTTAATACATATTGAAAAATATCAGTGTGCGTTTTATATTTAATGGAATAGCCTAGGACATGCGTTACAGGACACATAAAATATTTATGGTAGAAAAATATTTTTTTATAATTCTGTGAATTACACTGCGCAAACCAAAACTAATACACGTTGAGTTAAGTAACATTCAGATAATTGAGGTCCTCTTCCTCACTCTGTGTGCGAGCGCTCTTGTTGTTGGACTGACCACTGGGAAGCCCTCCAGAGTTCATTGCTGGGTTACTTCTCCTCTTCTGGTGGAAGAGACAGTGGTCAAGATAAACATTTGGTGACACATGCATGAAACATGACTTGACACATTTATAGAGGACATTCCAGGTCGTTGTAATGAGTGTGGAACACGCATTTCACATTATTCATAAAAAATATGGTGAGAAAAAATAATTTCTTGGTAAATCATTCACTGTACGGTCATAAATTGTTGCATTGAATTCAATAGATTATTTTCTCTCTTTTTTATTCTTCATCTTTCTTTATAATGTGGACTAATTTTGAGATTATTACCTTATAACAAACCACTCCAGTGATGATTCCACATAGGACTATGAAACCAATGCCACAACCCACCGAGATCATCACTGTGATGGGGAGACCTGAGAGAAGATTAACACAAAATTTCATTATTTTCAAGTTTTTTCTATTATCCTTCTTATTAGTGCAAAGAAAAAATCAGGCCTATATGCATAAACAAACATCACTAAATCTAAATTCAACTGATATATAGTTCAAATGATCCAAAAGATATAACAAACCTAAATATGCAGAAACAGATCTTAACATACATTCACAGATACTCTTTGTTACACAGTTTAAAAAAAACCTTTTTTGTGCTGAATTAGCAAGGCCATGATGCAACTAAAGTCTGTTTTGTAACCTATATAACCCTAGCATGACATCCACCAGATGGTAAAGAAAAAAACATATGAAGAATAAAAGTTCACTTTCTAGCCGTGTCATGCACACAGATAAGAAACAACATCATGGTAAAACATTTTGACACTAAAATATTGAAATAAACATTAACAACATAAAATAACATAAACATAAAACCCGTTTGTAACTGATAAGAAAAAAAAACAATAAGAAACTTAATGATTAAAATCAAAAACCATCAAAGGTACCAGGGAATAATGAGAATGTTCGTTTATGTTTTTTTGCTGTAAATTATAACATCCAAAAATACATTTAACAGTATTTTACTGTAAAATTAAACAATGTATGGTTAGATTTATTACAGGAAACTTACCGCCAATCAACAGGTTTTTGCTGTTGCATTTTGTATTTTACAGCTAAAATTACAATATTTTTTACAGTGTATCTGTACCATATGCTCTGTTTTGGCTTAGTTCTAGTTCATGTACCTGGGTTTATCCTTTGTTCTCGTTTTCCTGCCACTGGTTTCTTAGGTTAGTGTTTTGCTTCTGTTTCTGTTAATTACTGTAGATTCCCATGTAAGCCCTCAGTTTCCTGTGTTTCATTGTTCTGTCCTCAATGTTTTGCGTGGTTGTTATGAGCTCCTCAGCTGTTTATTTTGGATTTATGAAACACTGTGTTTTTGTTCTTACTCCTTCGTCGAGCCCTTAATACAGTCAGCCGCGTTTGTGACAAAGTCAAGTCAAGTCATCTTAATTTAGGCTATATTGAGCTTTTAACATGTACAGTGATAATAGGAAATTAAAGTAACAACTTGTTTTGGCTTTATGACAGCTCTGGAATAAAGTTATATTTTCCAGTTAAAGTTATTTTTGATTGATTCACTTCCGTCGCAATGATCATTAGTTATTAACTTAGGGGCCGCTGACACAAAACCGTTCTAACTAAAAACTCTTAAAGGGTTAGTTCACCCAAAAAATTTAATTATGTCATTAATGGCTCACCCTCATGTCGTTCCAAGCCCGTAAGACCTCCATTCATGTTCGTAACACAGTTTAAGATATTTTAGATTTAGTCCGAGAGTTTTCTGTCCCTCCATTGAAAATGTATATACGGTATACTGTCCTTGTCCAGAAAGGAAATAAATACATCATCCATGTGACATCAGTGGGTTAGTTCAAATGTTTTGAAGCATCAAAAATACATTTTGGTCCAAAAATAACAAAAACTATGACTTTATTCAGCATTGTATTGTCTTCCGGTTCTGTTGTAAATGTTCCTGAATAAAGTAATAGTTTTTGTTATTTTTGGACCAAAATGTATTTTTGATGCTTCAAAACATTCTAACTAACCCTCTGATGTCACATGGACTAATTTGATGATGTCTTTATTTCCTTTCTGGACAAGGACAGTATACCGTACATACATTTTCAATGGAGGGACAGAAAACTCTCGGACTAAATCTAAAATATCTTAAACTGTGTTACGAACATGAACGGAGGTCTTACAGGTTTGGGACGACATGAGAGTGAGACATTAATGACATAATTTTCATTTTTGGGTGAAAAAAAATAATAAACCCCCTACAAACTACTGTCTGGCCTTAAAATTTGTTCATGAACCGAAATTATCCCGACAACGATTATTTGTAGAGAGGTAAAGGGAAGAAGGCCTTCACAGGGAGGATAGTCGACACTTCAGAACTGCATGTCAGTATCATTCACCTTTTTGTGTCCCGCTTGTTAAGTCTGTCAGAGGTTTGCATGTAGGTTTATGTTGGTTATAATTATAATTTGAATGTATAATTATAAAATGTCATTTGTAGGAACAAAAATGGGTTTATTTTAGCTATACTGGCAAACTGCATGCCTGGTGTTATGTTGAGGAAGATCAGTATTCTTACCATTTTCTGTCCTTTTCACTAGATTAATTTGTCCTTGAAGACTCCCTTGCGGGAAAGTGCTGAGTTTATAGCAGTAAGTCACAAAGTCGCTCTCTTGTAATTTTTCCAGTATAAAGCTGTGGCTTGATTTTGCAAATAGACGACCAGTATAGTTGTTGTTAACTATACTGAGTCCATGGCTCGGGCTGTACACAAAAACCTTGTGATCTGGACACCTGCTCCATTCAGTGAGGCTTACTGCCGTGTCTCCTGTAACCTTGAATTTAAAAGTCGCACTACCACCCAAAGGAGCTTGAATCACTTCTTCATCTGTAAAGGCCCCTATATGAAAAACAAAGAGAGAAAGAAGAAGAGCAAGAGAGAAATAAATGGCACGAACTGCAATTTTCAGACCTGAACTGAACAGCATCTTTTTCTCTTAACAATTTATAAAATAGTTATAAAAAAGAAGAAGAAAAGAGCTCTGTCAGGTGTTTGTAAACCCGTATTTGCTTTCTCTTCCTGTACAACTGCTTCAGTTTCCTTCTTTTAACAATTCAGTTGAGTTCTTACTTCATTAAAATATGTTTCATTAAATTCACCACAAGAATAATACACTACTGTTCAAAAGTTTCAAGAGGAATACATCGATACGTTTTTTAAAACAAAAAGTTTTGAACTTTATGTGTCATGACTTCCACAAAACATTGATTTTAAGAAATGTTTCTTGAGCACCAAATCATCATTTTAAAAAAGATTTCTGAAGCATCATGTGACACTGAAGACTGCTGAAAGTGTAGCTCTTGCCATTAGGAATACATTTTATAGGAATACATTTCAAAATATATTAAAAGTTATTTTACAACATCATTTTTTTTACTGTATTTGCGCTCAAATAAATGCAGCCTTATTCACATACGAGACTTCTTTTAAAAACGTCTCACAATAATCTGACCCAAAGCGTTTGAAGGTATAACAAAAACCATAGTAAAGCATCTCTCTGTCTGTGTGTGTGTCTCGTATCATACCTGTTATAAGAGTTATGAAGAGTATCAATAGGTGAGTCTGTTGTTGTTCAGATAATAGAAACGGGTTCGTCTGTCCGATCCTCATGGTGCCTTGTGCTGTGCTGGACGTGTGATGTCGTCTAATGCTTTTTTTTTTTTTTTTCAGCAAAGAAAGAAAGTAACCACAAAGACAACCCTGCATGTAGCTCTATAGCTCATTAGGTGTGGACTAGGGTTTCACTAAACCTTATTTTTAAAAACAACTTCCTGTTGTCAAAGAACTAGAGGTCTGATTGTGCCTAAGAATTCTATATTGTTTTTAAAGTAGCCAGAGATCGATACTCTTTGTACACTGCAATTTGTTTAAAATGTGGGATTTCACTTAATTTAGCGTATTTCAGGAGGAAGTTCTGTCTAAATCATGCAGTCATGCAATATGTTCTTGTGTTTCCTCCATCTAGTTTTCTACCTTGTTGTAGATGCATTTGGGCTATAAAACCACTTCCTGTCTCTCTGACCTTTTGCATAATCAACACAACCAATGTATCATACTGTAGCGGAATAGGCTATATAAATAACAGAATTCATTTAAACATATTATCTTTATTTTTTACACATGATATATGAACATTTATTTAATAGATGACAATAAAGAACTGTAAAGTACACCATAACTTAACACAATGTTGTTCAGTGAGTACTGAACACAGAAATATGTCATTACAGAAAAGTGCACATCATTTGTCCTGAGAGACACCTTACAAATAGCAGCATAAGTACAAGTACAAGGATGATACATTTGGAGTAAAATGTATTTTTTGGTTTACTAGCATTTGGCAGTTTGATAAATATGTGTTCTATCTTCACTTTTTTTTAAAGTTTTTTTTTTCAGATTTAGAGCTAATTTACCCATCAAAATGAACATTTTGTTATCCTTTAATTAGCTTCATATATTTCTAAACCAGTATGGCTTTCTTTTTTGTCCTATGAAACAAAAAAAAACATCCTTAATTTTATATATATGTATATATATATATAGTATATAGGTGTCTAATGTTGTTTTGAACCTCACTGAATTTCATTGTTCTTCTGTGAAAAACAAAAGAAAGTCAGTGGCGTCCAAAACAACACTAGGCCCCATTGACTTTCATTGTAAGGGCAAAATCAGTTGGTTTGGAACAACATAAGAGTGAGTATATTGGACATTGGTCACCCCTTTATGGATAAACAGGCATTTTTTAAATGATCCTCTCCTTTAAATGATGACAATTTTTTCAATTTTGGGTGAACTATATCATTTTAAGGTTTCAATAGATGTCCCACTTTAAAAAGGTAATATTTACACAACAATTGTCCATCACCCCCATCAAGAGCACTTTGAAATAACACGAAGGTGAGTGATTGATGAAAGATCTTCATGGGTAAACTATTTTAATATTTTAAATATAATATTTATAAAGTCAAGTCAGCACCTTTATTTATACAGCGCTTCTGACAATACAGATTGTTTCAAAGCAGCTTTACAGAGATAACAGGAAAATAATGCAGCAAAGATAATTTGGCTGTAAAGCAGCTCTAAAAGAAAGTAATTGTCTAGTTTAAGTAAGTTCAGTGTTGATTCATTTCCATTGTAAAAATCATTAGTTAATTAATAATTAAGTTCATTTATCTATACAGTAGCTCTGGAGAAAACGGTGAGAACATATGAGAAATGGAAGCTTTAGCGTTAAGTTCTGCCAGGAAGACTCAATCGTTGCGTCACTAATTACCTTCTCATCTATCCAATCGTGTCTAATGCTTGCGGTATAAAAGTCCGGTACTTACACATGTTTGAGTTCGCAGATGCTGACGCTTTCATTGACCTCCATCCTCCCCACCACCTCCAAGATGGTTCCTTCCCTCCCATCCTACCACCTCCAAGATGGTTCCTTCCCTTCCATCCTCCCCACCACCACCAGGATGGTCCCTTCCTGTACCTCCCGGGGGGGTCGGCTGCGCCCCTGCCTTCGTCTTCAGGCAGGAAATGCAGAGTCCGGACCCTCGGATTGCGAGCTATGGACGGGGCCTACGCCAAAGAACTTAATTGCTTGCTGGGCTATCAATAAATGTATTTATTGTTACAGTATTTATTCTCCCGAGTCTTTCTGGTAGAACTGAACTGAGCTGAAGGATGACATCATCCTTCAGCTCAGTTCCATTCTCATATAACGGTGTCAAACATTGGCATAAATATTTATAAATATCTATAACAATCACTGAAACATTTCTTAATTGCAATAATGCAGGGACATTTCAGGTTGTGACATTCATTTTCTGGGCTTTGTTCATCACTAATTCATTACAACTTATACTACTAATATTTCTTACTTAAAACACTCATACTTGATTTGCTACTAAGATTACAAAGTTATCTTTGATCATTGCAGCATGTTGCATTCAAACAATTTAATTATATGCTATAAAGTAACAGCCTTTATGGGCAAAGGTTCATTATATGTGCGACCAGGCAGTTTAATTTCGTGAAATAGCTGCTGTGGTTGCATAACACTTGGAACCTAATTGAAAATGCCCATACTCCCATGAGCCAAAACATTATGACCACCTGCCTAGAATGAGGTCCTCCATGTGTTGCCAAAACAGCACTGACCCACTGAGGCATGGACTCCTCAAGACCTCTGTAGCCATCCTGTGTCTGGCACCAAGACATTAGCAGGAGATCCTTCAATTCCAGGTTGTAAGGTGGAGCCGCTCTGGATCCAACTTATTGGCACATCCCAAAGATGTTCAATCGGATTGAGATCTGCACTGTAAAAAAAAGCAACTACATATTTTCCAGTTAACGAAACCTTTTGAATCTCAAATACTAAGTAACATTAAAACCCATATCAGACCAGCAGAATTCCCCCAAATGTTGTCCCACTCGTCAAAGAACAAAGAACTGCATATTTCTGAAATGTAAAGGGTTTGTGAGTTTGCAGACTTCATTTAAATATAAAATATTATAGTGTAAACCATTTTTTTACAATATGGGGAATTTGTCCTGAACATTTGTGTGCAGTGTGGCAGGTTGCGTTATCTTGCTGCTGAAAGAGACCACTTCCACCAGGAAATGCCATTGTCATGAAGCGCTGTACCTGATCTGCAAAAATGTTTAGGTAGGTAGCATCCTCCAAATTGACGTGCACATGAATGGCTGGACCCAGAGTTTCCCAGCAGAACATTTCCCAGATCATCACAATCCCTTCATCGGCTTGTCGTCATCCCATAGTTCATCCTGGTGCCATCACTTCCCCAGGTAAGCGCACACGTACACACCCGTCCACATGATGTTATAGAAAGAGTGACTCATTGAACCAGGTGACCTTCTTCCACTAATCTAAGGTCCAGTTCCGAAACTCACTTGCCCATTGGCGGTGGATAGGGGTCATCATAGACACCCTGATTGGTCTGCGGCTATGCAGCCCCATGTGCGTTGACACATTCCTCCCATAACATTCATTAAAATTTTAGCCATCGTTGCCCTTGTGCATCGTTGAGCCTTGGGCACTCAACACCTTGTCGCTTGTTTGTGGTTTATCCCTCCTTGGACCACTGTTGGTAAATTCACCACTGCTGACCAGGAGCGACCCACAATAACAGTCCAATAACAAATAACAGTCCAATCCTTGCCGTTTCAGAGATACTTTGACCTAGTCGCCTTACCATTACAATTTAACCCTTATCTAAGTCGGTCAGATCTATATTCCCCCCATATCTTCTGGATCCAACACGTTTGCTTACCATCTAATCAACAGAAACCTTAATATGTGGCCTTGTTAGGAGATACTCAATAATATTCGCTTTACCTGTGACTGGTCATAATGTTTTGGTTCATCAGTGTACATGACGACTGGAATAACCCCTATCCCAAAAAATACCAAAAACACAATGTTTTCATCAATTTAAACTGACTGCCTAGAAGTTCCTGCTTGCCAATTCCATACTGTCCATAATAAGCACCATTCTGCCTGATGCTAACAAGGTACATGTGTCAACCAACTTTTTTAGGCCTAATAAACACAGGGCCTTAGGCCTTAAATACTACCCAGGATCATGCCTGTAGTCCCTTGTGTCATACCATGTCTGTGAAGATGAAGGGGGATTCATTCTCATCCGTGTTCATTGTGAGGAACTGAATCCAGTTCTGGAGGAAGCCTCGTGAATAGACACCCGTCTCCACAACCAGGCCACAAAAGCGCCGTCTGCCGGTTTTGTTGCGCAAAGCCATTTGAGCTTCGCGTTCTGTTACGTTGTAACTGACATTGATAATCTGAAGGATGAACAGGTGGAGCAGACCACCTGTTATGATAACGCTGTACCACACACATGTAAAGCACAGGGCTGTGCTACACACACAAACACACACAAATGTGTTATATTAGTCTGAAAACACTGCGTATGTGCATATTTCCATTAAACACATGTATACTGTATGTAAAAAAAAAAGTATTGGATGGTGTACCTGTGTTGGTTGTAGACTCCGGGACAGTATAACATGGCTGTGAATAGACTCTGTCGAGGACATACACTCCGTAACACCAAACTGATCCCATAGAAGGATGTCAATAGGAAGAGAAGAAGTGTCAAAATGAACTGCCTGTGATTGGCTTGGCCTACACAGCTGTTTATCCTGTCGTGGAGAGGCGCACACACACACACACACACACACAGACACAAAATGTAAGCAGTACTGTAAACACACAGACATATTAATATCAAAAACCAAGTCAAGAACAGTTACATTGCTTTGTCTCTCTTCAATGTGGCTTTAATAAAAATGACATTTTAGGTCTATGGCATGTTCCTGTTATTATTTGTGCTTGTGTGTGTTGAAGCAGTACAGAGACAGATTGGCCTGGTGAGATCTCCGTTTACTGTGATGAAAGCTGCGTTCCTGTGGCCTTTGCACATGTCTCTCCAGCCTGCCAGTGACGTCTTTTGGGAATCAGCTTGAACATATGTGTGATCGGGTAATGTACAAGTGTACAATTGAAGATCAGAAAAAGAATAAAAACAACTAGCATGCCGCATGATGATACTAAGGGAATGGCCTACAATTCATTTTGGAATTGTTCAACTATTTCAATGGATGTGCATGAAGCCAAACTAATGACATGAAAATTTATATTTGATATAAAACATATTATTTTGATTTGATTATCCAACAAGTACAAACATAAAGTAATATTTTTGAATGAATCTAAAATTATAATGCAATAGTGAGTTTTTGACACCAAGATGTGAACATCATGAATAGCCACATTATACTCTCTCTCTCCTTTTATAGCATACATCAGGACTTTTATTTATGTTGGGTTTTTAATTAAAAAATGAACAATAATATAATAATATCCACAAAAAAATAAGCTGTTTTAACACTGATAAAAGGAAATGTTTCTTGAGCACCCAATCAGCATATTAGAAGGATCATGTGACACTGAAGACAATGATGCAAATTCAGCTTTGCCAACACAGGAATAAATTGCATTTTAAAATATATTCAAAATGGAAAAAAGTTATATTAATTTAATTGTAATAATATGTTGCTTTACAGTATTTTTGACTGAATAAATGCAGCCTGAGTTTTGAGAACTTGAGAACTTTTGAATGGAAGTGTAGGTACAGATAATTTTGTCATTGAAAGACACATACATGTTGGGGAAAGTTACTTTTTAAAGTAATGCATCACAATATTGTGTTTCTTCATAAAAATAATTAATCAATCAATTAATTAATTAACTAGCGTTACTTAGTTACTTGTTGTTTCATAACTTTTGTATCATCTGGACTGGGCCTGCTTGTTTGTGTTTTTGATTAACAACAAAAAAAGTTATATTTCTGGCAAATGTAAAGTCCCTTTCACACCAAAAGTTTGAAGGAATGACGCGTTATTTTAATTAAACTGAACACTTCCAGATAAAAAAAAAAAGCTTCAAGTTGAAGGAAATGCAAATTCACAACCTACAGTAGAGGGCGCAGTTATAAAAAAAATCAACACGTTCCTCCAGCAATATCTAAACTCATTTTTGCGTATTAGCACGGTTAAAGTTGCTCAACGAACACTGGCAAATTGGTTAATAAAGTGAGATTAAATACATGTATATTTGTGTAATTTAGGCTAAAATATTTAATTATTGCAGGTTTGTGTAATATTCTGGGATTGTGTTTCACAGTTTTTATTAATTTAGAATTATACTGAATCTGTTTTTGTGCAAGTGAGATGATCACATTTAGTCTAGAACTACAATAACATCCTGCTTACACAGCGCACACAAAAGCCTCTGCACTTACTCATTTCTCTCACAATGGGGACAGTAGAGCTGTCAATAAATGGAAAATCAAAGTAACTTACGTTACTTTATTTGAAAGTAACTCAGATATTTTGTTGTGAAATTTAAAACTGTTACTTAGTAATGCATTACCCTAACAAAATGGCCCAAGTGCACAACCTTTTTCCCTAGTTTCCAGAATATTGAAATAATTCATTCACTTCACATTGAGAATAAAAACTTCATACTCAATTTTCAAAGAAGAAGGAGTGAGAAACCCACCAAACACAGTGGTGGTCCATGCGTAGGACACATGCCCCACAGATCCTGCAGTGCCCAGCTCTTGGTGGGCGCACCAGTCTGCACACAGGGCATAACTTCTTCTTTCCTTCCTTCTCCCCCTTTGACTGGCTGATTCCATTGTGGGTGGTAGAGTGTCTGGGTAAGTCTGTGCTCTGATTGGTTGTAGAGCTACTGTTGATTCCCAGAACTAATGATTGGGATTTGACAAGGCCTGGTCCCTGTTTGGTGCGCACAAGGGAGATAAGCGTCAACATCATGCCTGTCGTCACGGTAACCAGCTGCAGATTACTTACGTCTCCTCTGGGGACGATCTCAGTAAGGAAAAGGTAGTACATATAGGCAAGGGAGAAAAGTGCCAAACTAAGGAAAAACAATGTGCGTCTTTTCCTTTTGTGAGTCACATAGTAATACCAAAGCACCAGTCCTGGTAGGGCAGTTAAGACTACAGCTCCCAAGATACAATTAATTGCCGCTACTCGCAACAGGCCAGGAATTAATACCATGGGAGGTAAAACAGAGAGCTCCAATCGAAGGGGTCCTATAGCACAACATGGCAAACCCAAACAATCAGCCATATGAGAGATGAAACGAGAGAAGATGTCTGGCTTGTCTGGCTCTCCTCTAAGTAACCTAACGAGAGGGGATGAAAGAGGAAATAAAGACATTTTCATTGAAAAGAGCAAAACAAATAAAAACTGATGGATTCACCCATAAATTAAAGGTTTGTCATCATTTTCACACCTCCACAGACTTTTGTTGCATGGAAAATATCAGCTGCAAATTTATCTCATCTGAAAAAAATGAAGGTGAGTAAATGAGGACAAAATTAATTCCTAGAATGATTTCTATGTGAACTACTCTTCTGCAATGACCAAGTTCCCCTCCCTGCCATGAATGGTTAAATGGTTGACCTCTGACCTTTCACAGGCATCATCAAGTTCTTCACAGTCACAGCAGCAGTACTCTCTTTGCTGGTCGATGTCTCCACAGCAGCACAGAGGGTCATCTGGATGCGGGGGCTTAAAACGTTCTCGTTTCATCTCTTTATGTCAGAGACAATCTGCTTTCACTGTGGGATCAAGCTTTCTTTAGGATTCGGTTGGATCACATTTATTCAAATAAGTGAAAGGGTTCATTCATGTTTGGACAGGATTGATTCAGGGCTGTTGGACGTTTTAGCTGTTAGCGGCAGGTAGATTTCTTGTTCAGCTTACTTGCTGGTCATCTGCTACTTTTTTCATCAGAAGCTTCATGTAAAAAGCATGTGTTGCACTGGCTGGAAAGAAATAACAAAATCAGTCCTTGTCAATAGCATTGTCAGTGCTCTTCTTATCATTTTACAAAAAAAAAATCTTGTTGATTTTGATGGTTTCACATCAGACCATCCACAATGCGCAAATAACAATGAAGTGTGCAAAACAGTAAGTGTCATGGCCCTTTTGGCAATTTTGGAGGACATTCTTAATTGTTTCTTACTTCACCCTTTTTTTTATTTCACCAGGTATGGATTCACAATCTAATCTGTGATAGATAAATCTGTGATTTGGGTAAGAAAGGATCATTCTTGTCCATCAAAGCAATTGAATGAATTCTCTCACTTTTTTTTCACAGAATTTAGCAAAATGTATTTTTTTTTCTTTGACAATATAGGGGGTTTTGTCATGATCACTGGCATAAATATATATAAGAAAATACAATAAATTAAATACAAAAAATCTCAAGGGAGGTGAATCATTTTAATAGGTTATTTACACATTTGTGGCCTAAGCTCACTAAAAATAGTTTCAAGTCACGGAGGAACGGCACATAGTCAGATGTCTAACACGGATGTTAATACTAACATACAGATGGACGCACACAATAACATAAGCACTGGTCTATAATTATGTAGTGTATCAATGCAGAAAATATTATTAACCCTTTCATGCATAGAGGTCACAGAGGACAGCTATTCAAAAAACACTGTCTTGCATGGGTTTTGATGGCATAGTTCCACATGGCCAGTCAGAAAAATCAATTTATTCCTTCTAGCCTAGGAGACACTTGCAGGTAAAAAAAAAATAATAATAATAATTCATTAAAAAAAAATGTTATAGCATCAAGTAACATCTGAAGACTCGGAAATTCAGATAATCATCTGTCAACTAAATTGGACCTTACAGAGGCTTGCTATATTTCAGCAAAAAGATTTTTTAGCTGTAAGTGTGTAATTTAATTGTAGTTACATTTAAAAAGTAATGTGAATGCGTAATATATGTTACTTGAAATGCATTTACTCGCTACATCAGAAAAGTAATCTGGTTGCATAATGCATGTTACATGTAATGGTTAAAAAAGTAATCTGATTACATAATGGTCGTAATGCGTTACTTTACTTGTTACATCAAAAAGTAATCTGATTACATTACACATGTTACTTGTAATGCTTTACTCCCAACACTGCTCATTCAGATGAGATTGAAAACACCTGATTTCTAGTTTCTCCACAGTCTGAAAACATCAATAGATCAAAGTAGATTTCAGTCTGAGGTTTTCTCAGAGTAGAAATGTGTCCATTTTGAACATAATCAGAATTATAAGGATAAATCAGACTTTTATAGTTTTCATATTATTTTCCTTAAGTAAAAAAAATTACTTAAGTATTAATTGGATTGTTAAATACACACATTACTTTTGCGTTATTATGCATTATGCTTTTTAAATCCGAAAAGTGAAAATCTCTTTGAAAAACATGCGCACTTAAAGAAAAAATAAAATAAAATCGTATTTTTCATGCCCTAACAGCAATAAAAACGGCGGGAGGGGGGGTGGAATCCTGACTGAGGTTGTCAATTCACACAAGAAAGGGTTAATATCTAAATCTGCTCTTTGTAACTTGAATCAAGGCCATCTGATGTCTCATGTGGATCATATAATTGGGCCATCAAAAAACTTTTCCCTGAGAGGCTGTTCTCCATCATAAGTTGTGAAATAGAGAAAATAATTGAGCAGCATGTGTTTGACATGTTTTAAATTACATTTGATCCCTGGAGTAAAAAAAAAAAAATGGTTTGCCCTTGATTGTGATTCAAAACTAACCCTAAATAGGATGATTACATTCCTGAAGACCACTTAAAATAGCCTCCATATCAACAATAATTTCTTTTTGAAACCTTTATAAAAATGATCTTAATTTTTTTTTACCTATGGTTTAACAGCCTCAACACAGATGCAAATCCATCCCACACGAACTTCTTCAGTTTATCCATCTATTCGTGATGAGTCTTTCCTGGTCTTCAGTTGCACTTGTAGTAGTTTGGAAAAGGAACAGGTCAGTTTGTTTAGCCTGAGATGTCAAGATGTCATCCGTAGAAATCCAAATGAAGTTTTGTCCGTAATCCGTTTTTTTCTCTCGGTCAAACGAAAAGGCAATTTCCCATCAGAGAAAGCAGGTGGAAGTCCAGGCGCGTCTTTGTTTCATTTAACAATAATGTAAATGTAAGTAAAATCTATATTTTTTAAGAGATAGCCTATCTCATTCGTTTGCTACTAAAAATACATGCAATACACAGAAGGGCGCTTCCTTATGGGGTGTATCGCTATGAGGCAGGGCTGGACTGGGACAAAAAATCAGCCCTGGATACTTCATCCAGACCGGCCCACTATGCACACACACACACACACACACACACACACACAAACACACACAAACACACACACACATCTATACGTGCATTAATCTGCATGTAAAATTACTGATTAGATTTTATTTACTATCAGAACCAAGAAAAAAATATTAAAATAATAAACAAATAAAATGGAAATGATTTTATAAGGCTTTATTGTAAATAACTGGTCTTAATTTATGTGCCGCTTATTATTCTAATAGAATATTCTTAGGCTATATACTATATAAACTATATTTCATGAGGTGCAACATCACTGCCAGGACCTACACCTCATGAAATATAGTTTATATAGTATACCTATATTTCATTTATACTATATCATTTATATAGTGTATATAGTATATATATATATATATATATATATATATATATATATATATATATATCATTGTTAAAGCTATTAGTCAAGAGCAGTGAGTTATTTATCTTTGTCTTTTGTTCACATTTAGCCTATGACACATAAGGCTTCTGCCAGGCACTTTCAGGGATACAAATTGAAAAAATATATATATATGTGCATATTTATATGCAAAATACTCCTTTCTATAGCTATTTGAAAGGTATGCAAGTATGCAAAATACTCCTTTCTATAGCTATTTTTCAAGTCAACTATGTGCTATTGTCATTAAATGGCTTTCCTGAGGTAACTGTAACGTTCTGTGACATAATTGTTCTCCTGCTGTTTTATTAATCTCTTTCCGTTGTTGAAAAGCACTGATTGATATTATTTATGAGGCATATACCGTTTGATAAGTTGTAGGCTATTGTATCTTATCTTTAAATAAAAAGTAACAGATGATCGGTTTACTTGAACTGAGGCGCTAAAGCGACCTGTCACGTTATTTTCTAGCGGCAAAACGGTATTGTCTGAATTTCGTAATAAAATGGACAGAACCAGAGAGCTGAGAATTTTAAATGTCATTTATATCGATCAGTGAGTGGAGGCCTATTACAGCTGGAATATCGTAACATGCTTAAACAAAACAATGCAGAAGGCTACGTGTAGCCTATCATTCTAAATGTCTCACCTCAGCAGTCAGGCGCGCCCTGCTGACATCTTCACTAAAGTCCAGCAAATAATTCATTTATTTTAACACATTTGGTGGCATCTGCCTCACGTTATTGTCGTTGTCTTGTCGTTTTTTCTCTCTCGACTTCTCGGTCCCCCTTTACGTTTAGAGATGTTACTCTTTTGACATGAATTTCGTTGCACATCATCACATCGCATCATGCAGTTGTTGTAAAGCGGCCGCTTTTCAAGTCTAGATTTGAACTTGATTCCGATTGGCCATCAGACCTGTTAGTCTCGCAGCTCGCGTCAGCTTCATGCGGCTTCATGAGAGAGACACATGCCCGGAATTGGACAATATAACAATATACTTACGATAGAATAGGCTATATTTACAATTAATAATGATTTAAAAACAAAATACATAACGCGCCGGGCCGCCGGCCCAACCAGACCGCGGCCCACCGGGAATGTCCCGGTAGTCCCGATGGCCAGTACATGCCTGCTATGAGGTGCAGCTCGTGAGGGTTCTCAGAACTGTTAGGAAGGAAAGGCATGATAGATAACTCTGCGCGCTCCCGTCCCGGTCTCTCAAATGTTCTGAGAGCAAGGCGCGTGAGAGGAACCTGTTTATGAGCGTTGTTACCGATAGGGCTGGGTGTCGGCGTTGAAAAAGGAAGTTGGCAGGTGTTACCGTGACAGCGAAAACGTGAATCGACGCGGAAAGTTACCGGCGCGCGAACCGTGCATAACCGGCGGGCCATAGGGTCACAGAGTACTTGTTGTGACCTCAAATTTGAACTCACCCAGGAGAGAGTGGGGCGCAACCTAACGCCTTTTTACATTCTCAGTTTGTGTAATCCACTTTGGGTTTTCCACTTATCCCCGCATTCATTTCACATGTCTAGTCCAATTTTGTGGTTCTCTTACGAGAGGTTCTCTCGTATTGCGTAAGCTAGCTTACGCTACGGGAAAGATTCATCTTTGCTGAGAAGTTGAAGCCAAAAAATTATTCCATAATTTTGTAATCATTGTCAACGCAGTCTCTTCTGAGGCAGACCATGAGCGGGCTAGCTAGCGGCTCATTGGTTCGCTCAGAGAGAATGCACGAACCTATGGGAGAGCGGCGCTGAGTCCGCGGCCAATGAGCGGACGGCGCTCGCTTACTGCGTCACAGCCCGCCAAAAGGGGCGTGGCTACAGTGTATAAAGGTCGCTCTCCCAGCTCGTTCGTTGATTCTGTTCATTTCAGCGAGCTACACGCATCCGCTGTTCTGGGAAGAAGCCGCCGTCGTTGAGAAGGCACCGTCTAGCGAGCTCCGGAGTCTGAGGAAGCCGGCCGTCTGCCACCTTCAGCCGCCCAGCAAGCTAGCGCCATCCGACGCGTATCCTTTTTACTATTCCATATTCCTAAAAGAGCCGAGCGTCTTTTTCAAGATGCCTCGTATTTCCTGCGGCTCATGCCGCTCTTCACTCGAGGAAGGAGACCGCTTCTGCGTTCTCTGTTTCGGAGTGGAACACGCAGAGCTCGCCCTCGCCAACGGAGGATGCGACCACTGCGAGGACCTGCCTCCGTCTTCCCTGCGGGCTTGACTACAGGCAGTCAGAACCGCTCCCGCGCCGCCTCTCACTTCGCCGCGGAATAAGATACGCCGCTCCCAGAGGCCGCCGGAGCCCCCTGCGGATCCATGTGGGCCGCCGCCGCCGCCCACCGACCGCTCTCCCTCTCCGCCCCTGCCGGACTTACAGTTGCCGCCGTATGGCCGCTCTGTCGCCTCCGACGACACCGCGGATGAGAAGGACTCTTGTTCGCTGCACCCTTCTGACAGCGAGGATTGGTCGTCGATCGGCTCATCGACGAGAGAGTCTGCGGGGACCCGCGCCGGCATCGAGGAGGACTATCGCGCCTCCTTTCGCAGGCCATCTACCGCCTGGGTCTCGAGTGTCTCCTCCCCCAGAGCAACCACCGAACCGGCGCCCGGCCCCCGCCTGCAGCCGGGCTGCACCATTCCTGCCTGAGCTTCACTTCGAGCTCACTAAATCCTGGAATGCCCCTCTTTCGGCTCTTATCCGCTCCGAGGGGTCCGCTTCGCTCAGTGGACGGAGCCGCCGAGATGAGTTATACTGCCATGCTGCCCGCGCCTTTGACGCCGCCGAACAGGCCGCCTCAGCGCTGCATTCCATCCAGGCGCTCCAGAGCGACATCTCGTGCGAGATGGCGAACAGCGGTAGGAACCCGCCCATCCTTTCGGATCTGAGAAGCGCGACGGATCTTTCCCTTCGCGCCACTAAAGCCGCCGCACAAGCCTTGGGAAAATGCATGGCCGCCCTCGTTGTCACTGAGAGACACTTGTGGCTCACGCTCACCGATATGGGAGATTCAGAACGCGCCCTGTTCCTCAACGCGCCTATATCTCCTACCGGGCTCTTCGGATCTGCCGTCACGGCATCGTTGACCGCTTCTCCGAGGTACAGAAAGCGACTCAGGCCATGAATCTGTTCTTGCCCCGCCGCTCTAGTTCTTCGACAGGCCGCTCTCACGAGCCTCCTGCCAGAACCCCACAACAGCGCCCGCCCAGCAAGCTCAGCAGCGCCTGCCTCAGCAAGCTCAGCAGCCCAGCGTAGACAGGGCGGCCGCCCTCGCTCTCGCTCAGACAGCCGCCGCAGACAGCCTCCTCCAGGGGGCCTCGACCCAAGATCGCGCTGAGGCCCGATCTACTGAAGTCTGCCTAGCACAGCTGAGAAAAGGACGGCTTTCTCCCGCTGCGGCCGGATCGCCGTAAAAGCTTCGCCCACTGTTAGTCCCCGTTCACCGCTGACTGCAGTAGTGTTTACCGCCACAAACAAGCCGGTTTCCCTGCCCGCTTGCGAGCGTCTAAATGCCGTTTTCACGGCTACCCAGAGAGTTCACAAAAAGAGCATAAAAGCCTCAAGTGTAATAAATGTGCCCACAAGCATGTGCTCACGTACACACACAAGCGCCTTATGCCCAGGGTCTCACAGAGCCCATTCTCACGGAGCGAGCACTTCCGCTCCAGTAGCAGAGAACATAAGCACGCCCACGAGCCCGTGCGCGTGTCCCCCCTCTGCCCGCTCTGTCACACGGCCCATAAAACTCCTCTCTGAGTGTAAGTCCCGTTGCCACCCACATTATAAGCGTGCCCACACACAGTGTCCAGCCCGCGATGTGCAGCAATCAGGGCGAAATATCCATTCAACCGCTTACGAAGCGTGGGAAGCCATCCCCGGCATCTCCCCGTGGGTTTTTAGCATAATAAAGAATGGTTATCGATTACAGTTTCGTCGCCGCCCGCCACGCTCGCGCGTGCGGCTCGAATCCACTGTCAGCTGCCCGCTATGAACACGCTTCGCTTAGAAATAGCCAAGCTACTGCAGAAGGGCGCTATAGAGAGAGTCCCACCATCTATGACCGAGTCGGGGTTTTTTACGGCCGTTATTTTCTGGTTCCCTAGAAAGACGGCGGCCTCAGGCCGATCTTAGATCTCAGGGCTTTGAACAAAGCGCTCATTAGAGACCGTTCAAAATGCTCACAGTCAGGAAACTCCTCGCGCACTTCCGCCAGGGGGACTGGTTCATCTCTCTAGACCTGAAAGACGCATATTTTCAGATCCAGATAAGCCCTCATCACAGGCCATTCCTACGTTTCGCCTTCGAGGGTCAAGTTTATCAGTATGCCGTTCTCCCGTTTGGCCTATCCTTAGCACCCCGTACGTTCACGAAGTGCATGGATACAGCGCTCGCCCCCCTGCTAAGTCAAGGGCTGCGCATACTGAATTATCTGGACGAATGGCTGATTCTAGCAGATTCCCAGACGGAGCTGCTGTCGCACTGCACAGTTCTCCTCTACCATCTGGAAACGCTGGGACTCTCTGTCTACTGGACAAAGAGCTCTCTCCAGCCCAGTCAAACTATTTCGTTCCTTGGAATAGATTTGAACGCTATCACGATGACGGCTCGCTTATCCACACAGCGCGCGCGCCGTGTTCAGCGACTGGCCGCCTCGTTTCAGATGGGTGCCCATACATCCCTGAAATCGCTTCAGAGGATGCTGGGTCATATGGCTTCAGCCTCCACTGTGCTACAGCTGGGTCTTCTGCACATGCGCCCCCTTCAACTCTGGTTAAAGAGCCGCGTATCCCACCAAGAGTGGACGACGGGCCGCCAGATGATCAGGATTACTCAGACATGTATCACTGCACTGCAGCCATGGGCAGTAAGCGAGTGGTTTCAGAGGGGCGTTACCATGGGAACCTTCTCTCGCCGGAAAGTTATCTCGACAGACGCATCCAACTCGGGTTGGGGAGCGGTTTGCGAGGGCTCACCGGCCGCCGGCCAGTGGTCGAGCCACGAGAGTTCCTTACACATAAACTGTCTGGAAATGATCGCGGTCGAGAACGCGCTGCTATGCTTCCTCCCGCGCATAAACGGTCACCACGTCCTGATTCGCTCCGACTATATGGCCGTGGTATCATACATCAACCGTCAGGGCGGCGTCAGATCCAAGAATCTCTTCATCTGACACGCCGCATCCTATTGTGGTCCCAGAGTCACCTGCTATCGCTCAGAGCGACGCACGTGCCGGGCCATATGAACGACGGTCCAGACAGGCTGTCCAGGAACCTGGTCTCCCCGGAGAATGGTCCCTGCACACTCAAACAGTCCAAACACTGTGGCGCCTATTCGGCAGAGCGGAGATAGATCTTTTCGCGTCAGAAGAGAACGCTCACTGCCCAATATTCTTTTCAAAGAGCGAGGACGCGCTAGCCCAGGATTGGCCCCGCCGCCCGCTCTATGCTTTTCCCCCGATTTCTCTGCTACCGCAGGTCATTCAGAGAATCAGGGACTCACGCCACTCGGTGCTCCTCATAGCCCCGCGCTGGGAGAATCAGATTTGGTTCCCGGAGCTAACGCGGCTGTCACAGACAGCCCCGTGGCCCATTCCAATCAGTGCAGATCTCCTCACTCAAGCCCGCGGCTCGATCTGGCATCCCCATCCACAGCGCTGGGCGCTTCATGCATGGGTGACCAACGACTACGCGTCGAATTGCCAGAAGGGGTTTTGAACACGATCTAACACGCCAGAGCGGATTCTACCAGAAAGCTCTATGCTGCAAAATGGTCTGTGTTCTCCAAATGGTGCACCGACATGAATTTGGACCCACGGACGTGCGAGGTTTCGTCTTGCTAGTGTTCCTTCAGGAGATACTGGATAAGGGCAGGTCCCCATCCACTCTTAAGGTTTACGTGGCAGCCGTCGCGGCGTTCGCTGAACCCCGGCGCGCCCAGTCTCTGGGCAAAGACGAGCTAATCATCCGCTTCCTCAGGGGAGCCAGAAGGATGAACCCCCCTCGCCCCCCCTACGGTGCCGGTCTGGGATCTTTCTATAGTTCTAGAAGCTCTGAAAGCCCCACCGTTTGAACCACTTGAGTCCGTGGAGCTAAAATACCTCTCGTAAAAACCGTTCTTCTGACGGCTCTCGCCTCAGTAAAACGTGTGGGGGACATTCACGCGCTGTCTTCGAGCGCCGCGTGCCTAGAGTTTGGACCGAGTGACTCCATAGTCATTCTAAGGCCTAGACACGGTTATGTTCCAAAAGCGATTGGTACCCCTTTCAGGGCGCAAGTGATCTCTCTATCGGCGCTGCCTGCATCCGATAGCGAACGTGACGCTGACCGCCTCTGCCCGGCTCGGGCTATCAGAGTGTACACTACACGCGTTGCCGCGTTCAGACGCTCGGAGCAGCTGTTTGTGTCGTTCGGTGGCCGCACCAAGGGACTAGCCGCCTCGAAACAGACCCTATCCAGGTGGATAGTAGACGCGATTGCCTCTGCTTATGCCGCTAAAGACCTGCCTTGCCCTCTGGGCATCAGGGCTCATTCCACCAGAGGCATGGCCTCATCGTGGGCATGGTCCTGCGGGATTTCCATCCACGACATTTGTGTGGCTGCGGGATGGGCCTCCCCCTCCACCTTTGTCAGATTTTACAACTTGGAAGTTCCAGCCTTACAGGCTAAAATTCTGGCGGTCTAGTACTCACAGCCCTCCTATAGAAGCCGCACTATCGGGAGTTCCATCACAACCGGCTCACCCCTTGTGTTCCCCTATGTGCTTATGCATTAGCCTACACATCACGGCCCGCCTTCGCCGGCCGCCTTGGGCGTTTTTGCACTAGATAGTAACGGCCGCTATGCTGGCCGCCGTATTATCTTCATCCACTTATAGATTCCCCCGGTGTTCCCCTGGGATGCTTAGTGGTTACTTAGCGCGCACGGCGTTGACCAGGTGTTCCCGTAGCGTAAGCTAGCTTACGCAATACGAGAGAACCTCTCGTAAGAGAACGAATCGGTTACCTAACGTAACCTCGGTTCTCTCTAGATGAGGGAACGAGTATTGCGTTCCCGGCCGTGCTTGCGCCACTAGCGTTTCGCTTCATGCTACAGAATCAACGAACGAGCTGGGAGAGCGACCTTTATACACTGTAGCCACGCCCCTTTTGGCGGGCTGTGACGCAGTAAGCGAGCGCCGTCCGCTCATTGGCCGCGGACTCAGCGCCGCTCTCCCATAGGTTCGTGCATTCTCTCTGAGCGAACCAATGAGCCGCTAGCTAGCCCGCTCATGGTCTGCCTCAGAAGAGACTGCGTTGACAATGATTACAAAATTATGGAATAATTTTTTGGCTTCAACTTCTCAGCAAAGATGAATCTTTCCCGTAGCGTAAGCTAGCTTACGCAATACTCGTTCCCTCATCTAGAGAGAACCGAGGTTACGTTAGGTAACCGATTCGTTTTGTTTCTTTAATACAGTGTCTATACTTTTTTCTGGATATGCCCCGAACAAATGGAACTGAAATGTGACAACATGCCCCATAGGTGGGGTACTTTGTAACATGACCATATTATAGATAAAAATGTTATTCTGATCTAATCAAAAAAAATATAAATCAAGACAATGCACATTTTCATATGAAACAATGGCATTATTTTTTTTTAAATAAACAGAGTTTTTACACAGTTAGCATAGTTCAAAACATAATAATAGTTAATAATTTCTAAACATTGACCCTCAGTCTTTATTCACCTTTTTCTCATGTTTTCTCAATACATTCTTAAAAGTATAGCTCTCTAATAGTAATGCAGTGTTTCAACATGCCCCACCTGCGCAACTGGGTTTTAAACCTGGTTAGTGTGTTCTGCTGGTTATAAGAATTAAAGGACTATCTCAACTGTTAAATAATATATACGAGATTAAAATAATATCAGATTTGTCTAATTTTAAATAAATACAAAAAACAGAGCTGAAAAAATAACTTAAATTTACTTTTGCCATGGTTTAAATAGTGTTCAGAAATATCTTTCAAAGATTTCAGAATTTTGGTGAATTTTTTTTTCTCTATATAGAGTTAATATATGGCAACTAAATACATGCTGGCATGTGTGGAAGTATTTAAAACAAGTGCGTTGCAACTAGCCTCGCGTTAGGTTGTGCCCCTGCTCACCCCTATTGTCTGCCAATCCATTTTAACCAGTGTTTGTGAATAAATATGCAACAAAAAATGTTTTAGTTATTGGCAGGTTTTGACGTAGGCCATTGTACGTAAACAAAAAAGTACATTTTTAGTTTTATGACAATTACTATTTTAAAAAGGTTTACAATATGTGTTGCTCGTCAAATTGGAAACAGTCATGACCTTTCCCTTTTGACCCTTCAATGCAGCTTTACTTTTTCAACTCCAAAATACTTAACATTTTATGTTCTTACTTTATTTTATCGGCCTATTGGGGACGGGGGCGAGATTTAAATTGTACATAAATTGTACAAAAAAATAAGCATTGACTATAGGCTACACTTAATTCTTAAAAAATTAAAAATAATTAGGCTATAATAGAAAATAATTCAAATTTAGTTAGCTAAATCTATTATAGTGTTTTCATGTATAACGTTTTAGTCTGGCGGTATTGTGGTTTATTTATAGTGTGAGAATACTCCCCAACAAATACACATTTTAATGTAATATGGGAATGACACCTCTGCTCACCACCTCTGGGCATGACACTTTCTAGAAACATCGCCATTTCCTTTTAGCTTTTCCTAAGCAGAATTCGACATGCCCATAGACCAGGTGTGCTACTGCTCATCCGGCGCGATTCTTGCAAGTCAGCCATTTAAAAGCATCTGCTACATGATGTGAGAGCCAGCGGTCTCTTGTGGAGGTGAAGCTGCTGCAGCTCCTCCTGGAGTCTCCAATGCCATCAAGAAACAAAATACTGTAACAGCCAAGTCTTGACCAACGCTGTCCTTCTAAATAGTATACATGTCATCAGATCGCTTACAGTGCTCATAACTCTCAATCTTCCTTCACCCCAAACTTGGATGTATGTGTAGGCAGCAGTTGACCCATCAATCTTTAGCAACCATATTCGGAGGTCAGGGTCAAACTATAGTCACAGTGGAGATGATATGCGACCTCCTAGCTCGGATATGTGACTCCGTTTGATGTGACCACACCCTCCGAGATCAGGTTTCTTGTAAGCGGTGACCTAAACCAACAGGAGGACACAATGTTCTCTTTTAAATCCAGTGCATGGGTTGCTTGTATAATGCATAGCTAGTCACCTGTCAAAGACAAAATAACAGTGGAACTAGTTTCACAAACACAGAAGTGAATTAAATACTTGATTAAATAGGCCTACTTGATTAAAATCTGCGCAAATAAGAGGCATGTGCGTAATTCCTTTGCATCTCAAAATGGCATAAACACCAGTCACGATTAGCCTACAATAAAAAAAATAAAATACATACAAGAGTCTACAGGGCATTCATGGGTAAAAGAGGCTTTAACAGCTGCAGTTTGCTGATAAAACAGTCTTTGAAACGCAACAAGTGTTCTTCTGCTATGACCTCATCATTTGAGGGATAACAAAGTAAACAGATTACACAAGCAAAATATGAAGAATTTATCCCTTCTAACTGGTCTTTATAAACTGCTGATTTGGGCTCCATTCCCCAGTTGCTATACGCAGGACCTCAGGTGTGCTTTTGTTTGTGCTGGTGAGTATTTCATCTAAAAATATAATTAATCACAGACCACGTTTGGTTATACAATAAAACAGTGCTAAGAAGAAAAGAATCTACCACACACATGCAAAGGGATAGTTTGGGAATCTTTTTTTTAAATTCATGCTCCTTTCTATGCAATTGCAATTAAAAGGTGCTTTTAAGCTTCAAAATGGATATAAAATCACCATTAAATGATCATAAAAGTAGTGAGGCTGTTATATTTAGCCACTGTTTACATCTACTATCAAGATGCGTTTTGGTCAATCGGATCCCATGTAGACGAGGGAGGGAGACACATTCCCGGTTATACCTGGTATTTCAACCACTTCTGCCCTGATTTCTTTAACGGGAGGGTCTATGGGTGGGTGAATGTATAAACTTTTTAGATCTTTTAATCTAATGTAAGAAATAATCTCACACAGTTTACATATAAGCACGAGTGCAGAAAACAGAGAAACATGCTGAGAGCATCAGCTTTGGTTTCTGCTATGACAGCCACAAGACCAGGCAAAGAAATCAGGCAAAGTGAGAGAGCATTGTGCATGGTATGTTTTTTTGTCTTCAAACCAAACTTGGTTCTTCAGTCGACAAAGTTTAAATACCATCTGGATAGCGCACTTCCCATAATGTTTAGTAGGCAGCCTTCTGTGGCTGTTTACATTACGAAAGCAATCCGGTCGAATGCGTTTTCGACTACCTCTGGAAGTGGTCCAAAATGGACAAGCTCAAAACGTTTTAGACCCCATTTACACCTGTATTTAGCATCATCCACTAGTGATCCGATCGACAAAAACACATCTTAATAATATATATATGTGTGTAAACAGGGCCTTAAAGTCATCTCATACTTAAAAACTTAAATTTAAGACATCATTCGCTTGTGATCCTTTTAGCTCTCTTTGGGGGCAACTGAGTCGTATTTTTTCAATGAATCCCTTGATCCGGTTCACGAATGATTTGTTCACAAATAAGCTTTATAAATCAATGATCACTGGAGGGGAAAGATTATTAAAGTGTATAGTCTGTTGTTCCTCACACAAACTAAGTGTCTAAGTGTCTTAAGAAAACGAGATGCAAAAAGAATCATTATATGGACCACTTTGTGGTGCTTTTGCATAAAAAAGCCTAGATTCTTTAGAATTTCTCCTTTTGTGTTTTAGAGAAGAGAGAAAGTGAAAAAGTTATCCAGGTTTGTAACAACATGAGGTGAATGAATTTCATTTTTGGCTGAGCTATCCCTTTAAAGACCCACAATCAACTTAAACATTAGTGTAAAAATATCGGGAGCACACTGGCGCTGGAGTCTTATCTAGGCTCTGTCATGATAGTGCAGCTCTTACTGTAATGCCTTACAGTAATGCAGTTGATATTGAGCTTCTCTGTGGCAAAGACTAAAAGTGAACCGGAACTAACTGGAGTGAGTGTGTTAAAAGCCTGCGTCTGATTAGCGCTCACATTCACATTCTGCAGCCGACCTTTAGGCTTAATGCACTTGGTCTAATGCAGTCTGTCTGTCTAATGCATCTATGGGTGTAGCCCGTCTTTCTCTGTCTGACTGAGATGACATAATGATCCGGAAACTCAGTTTATCCATCAGCGTATGCATTTTATCTCTGATAGACCACGCAAGAGAGACAAATTGCGTGTGCCTATTTTTGCAGTGACTGCTGTGTTTGCTTTACAAACACTCTGTAATGAAATCATGAACAAGCTGAACAATTTGAAAGAGGCACAGACAGAAAGACCAGGGCGGCGTGACGTGCCCCTTGTAAAGATAAACTTACTGTAAAACAAATGTCATTATAATTATATCCATGAGGCATATGCATTCAAATTCTTAATGGCTTTCAGTAAAAGGGCATGCATAACTGTTACATTTCAGCATGCACTCAGCAAACGCAGCCTACCTTAAAATGCAGCTGGAGGAATATGACTGTTAATTGCCTGCCATTCTCTGAGATGATGGATGTAGGCCTATGACAGATGGAAAGGGTTTTTATTTACAGTACCTAACGTTACACAGCTAAGCTACTCACCAAATAAATATCTACCTTTGTTATCTGAAATATTCCGCTAAAGAACGTAACCTAGTTTGTTATAATAATATACAGATTCGTCCAAGCAGCATCGAGCTCTAGGCCTACAACATTGAAGTCCTCCGAGGTAATTTTTTACTACAGTTTGTCGATAGCTGAAAAGCCAGATGCGTGTCACGTGTGTGTGAGACAACAGAACGACCCAAGCTGAAAGTAACAACAACAGAGGTCAACACCGAATTAAAAAAAAATATCTGAACGCTGGGTGGCGCTATTGATTACTCCTCAGACTCTATTTGAAACGTGTACTGCAGTGGCGGCTGGTGAAAAATATTGGAGAGGGGCTGAGTAAGAGGGGGGTCTGGGCCACGTGATTGTATTGACGCGCGGAACGCAGATGGAGGGCAAGGAGTGAAGAGCGCAATGGACGAGATGGAGGAAAATCTGTACTGTACTACTTTAGACGCGATTACAAGAGAAATATATAAACAGAAAATCGAAACATATGTTGGACGTGATCCTTACGTTATGAAGAGGACCGATTTTCAACTGAATTGAGAGATTTGCCTGCCATCGAGGCTGTATATCAGCAACTAACTCGTCTTACAGACATACTTTGACTTTACAAAGTTCGGAAACTGCTATGTTACACAAACAGCCACATAAGTGTATTTAAACACCTGAATAATGTAATTATAAGCCACATAAATATTAACTCACAGTTGACGAAGTGATCACTGCGCACACACACAGGCATTTTCCCATTCGGCTCCTCCCGACCGCAGACGTAGGTTTATAAGGCATTTTCCCGGTGTTTTTCTGTCAATTTCTTGTACTTTCCTCCCTTATGAACAACAACTTTTGTCACACGATAAAAAACTCCTCGTGGTTTGATCGATTTGAGCAACCATAAACGACGCAAAACATAGGCATTTTGAGTGTGTTAAAGTGCTTCCTAAATATAGAAATCACTTCCTGCCCTCCATTTGCGCTTCGCGCCATGGCAACGCAGTTGCATGACGTCACATGAAAACAAGCTATTCCCACGACTAACTTTACATTAGGTGTGTTCGACATCGCCTGCGGCTGGATGCAACCGATCGGCGAGAACAGCCGCGTGCAGGCGGGGAGGAGCTGCAAACGGAGACGTGAAGTCGGACAATTTCTGGTTCCCGTAGTGACGGCTCACGTGGTGTTTGCATGCTTATAACACAGCTGAAGTGAAATAAATGCAACATTTGCCAAATAAACAGATATTTCAGATATTTCAGACACATTTTCATTCAATACTTTACTGCTTCATACAGCATCTGTTTGAACTAGAATAAAGTTCAAAATAAGCCTATAATCAATGACGTGGAATCAACGTTTTTTAATCAGTTTTATTTTGATAAACATGATAAACATGACACAATATAACATTGCGACTACATTAAAAGAGTGTTTACTGTTATAAAATACTGATTTGTGAGCTTTAGTGGAACTAAACGTGTGAGAATAAACACGAAACGCACGTGATCGTTGTCATGCGGTGAATCCGGCGAATCGTGGAACAGCTGTGACATCATCAGAGCTCGTGCAGCCGCTCTTCAGAAGCTGCGCTGGCTGAGTCCTCCGGCTACTCTCGTAACGCTCTCGCGGTACTTTGATGGCATATGTCACAGTCACGTGGAGTCAGCGCTGCATCAAGTCGGACAAAATTTCTAACCGGCATGCACGGTTTCAAGTCAGCCGCCGATCGGTCTGCGCAGAGCTGCATGAAGTCGAACAAGCCTATAGGTGTGTTCGACATCGCCTGCGGCTGGATGCAACCGATCGGCGAGAACAGCCGCGTGCAGGCGGGGAGGAGCTGCAAACGGAGACGTGAAGTCGAACAATTTCTGGTTCCCGTAGTGACGGCTCACGTGGTGTTTGCATGCTTATACCACAGCTGAAGTGAAATAAATGCAACATTTGCCAAATAAACAGATATTTCAGACACATTTTCATTCAATACTTTACTGCTTCATACAGCATCTGTTTGAACTAGAATAAAGTTCAAAATAAGCCTATAATCAATGACGTGGAATCAACGTTTTTTAATCAGTTTTATTTTGATAAACATGATAAACATGACACAATATAACATTGCGACTACATGAAAAGAGTGTTTACTGTTATAAAATACTGATTTGTGAGCTTTAGTGGAACTAAACGTGTGAGAATAAACACGAAACGCACGTGATCGTTGTCATGCGGTGAATCCGGCGAATCGTGGAACAGCTGTGACATCATCAGAGCTCGTGCAGCCGCTCTTGAGAAGCTGCGCTGGCTGAGTCCTCCGGCTACTCTCGTATCGCTCTCGCGGTACTTTGATGGCATATGTCACAGTCACGTGGAGTCAGCGCTGCATCAAGTCGGACAAAATTTCTAACCGGCATGCACTGTTTCAAGTCAGCCGACGATCGGTCTGCGCAGAGCTGCATGAAGTCGAACAAGCCTTATTATTTCCACTTGACGTCACTGGCGCTGCCATTCTGCTCTCATCTGAGGTAAAAAAAAAAAAAAATGTCCCGTGGTGCGCGTGCACGGTGCACTCCCCTAATCTGATACTGTGGGCGATATTTTCAGCGCCCCCAAACCATACAATTTGACGACGCTGATTGGCGAAATAGAAACTTTTTTGCATAGCAACCGGGGAACCATTGGCTTAAATTCCAGCACTGTGGGGCTGAGCGAACTGGCGCCCTGAGAAGACAGCCTATTGGCTATACTACTACACCAACGTGATAAAAAGTAACGAAAGTGAATGCAAATATCATTCTGGTGAGTTCAAAACACTTTTCAAAGTAAAACCATTATTAGCATATAATTAACACAGATTATTTTTCAAAATGATAAATTATAATATATATTAAAAAAACAGACAGGTCGGAGGGAGGGCGGCGCCCCAGCGCCCTCTATGGGCGAGCCGCCCCTAGGACTCCAAAGTCATTCCAACATCCTGGATCTGCTCCGTAGCAGAGGCCAGCAACCGCATCCTGCAGAGAGTTTTGAATGTATTGCAAAAGAAAGTAGGCATCATTTTTATTGAGGTACAGTTCCACTATCATCTTAATTGCATTTTGCAAACTGCAAAGTTTATCTCCACTGTAGCTCTAAGAGAGCTTTACTCATTGCCTTGACACATTTCAAATTTTCGAGTGGGTGACGTCATTCTTTATTTTCCAGTGTTGCTAAGCGCATAAATAAAACCTTCCATTTCAAATATTCCACTCTCTAATCTCCTCCTTTTTTTCGTAGTGGAGAGAGGGAGAGTTAAGTTTCAGACTGGACTGCCACATACATCTCAACGCAACAGACCGCATCCATTTGTCATCACGCCTGATCTCCCGGTAATATAATCTGTAGATGCTTTCTGGACTCTGGAGGGCTCACATTGCTCTTGTGGGTGTTTTATCCAGAATCTACTGTATATAGACCCACTGACAGAAGCTACTCAATTTTGTTACGGACGACATGCAATTTGCTATATTACAGTAGTGTACAACGACTGGATAGATAGATAGATAGATAGATAGATAGATAGATAGATAGATAGATAGATAGATAGATAGATAGATAGATAGATAGATAGATAGATAGGGATGTAAATACATAGGTAGCAGGGGCGTTGCGTCCAAGGGAGAAAGTGCCACCTCAAAAATATGTTGAGAAGATAATCTATATTACAAAAATAAAACAACGCAAATATTACAAAATATGTCATTAAAAAGAGTACAAGCCTGGTTACTCAAGTAACACTGTCCGCCAGCGACGCAGGTGAAGTAAGAGTGCCTCTGTGCCCATTGACTGACTTTTAACAGACCCTTCAGACAATAGTGTTCAGATTGTTACTGCCTTTAGTTATTATTTTGGAATAAATGTAAAAATGCGCAAAAACACAAACTTGAAATTTTATTTTTGGATTTATGAAATGTTACATAGTGTAAAGATACAAATATAGAATTGTATTTGGTAGGTAGGTAGGTATAGTTGGGCTGGCAAGGTAACACTAGTGTCTGGGTGGAAATGGACCAACATGTGTGTGGTGGTTTTGGAGGGGGAGATAAAGTGTAGCTCCATCAGCTCTGTGTCAGTGTCTGACACTTCTCTGTGACAGATATGGCTTTCCTCAGTCTCTTAACTTCTAGAACCTTACTTAGTCACCTTTTCCTCTCAGGTAAGCCTTTCTATCTTTCCCTCAGCATTATAGCATTCTCATTTCTCTGTGTTCTACTAACTTACTCATTAACAAAAAAAAAAAAACTTTAAAAAAAAAATCCCTCCTTCCACAAATAATCATATCCACAAAAAGCACATTACATGCCTAATTTCAGCAGCTAACCTCATAAACATGTAAATGTCTTGCTCTCACGTCTCACGTCAGCCTGGATTAACCTAGTAGTTTGTGGTCATAAATCTTTTACACTAAACAGCATCTTCACCTATTAATCAGCAGTATGCACCCTCAATTTAACTAATTTATAAAGTCTGCTTCACAGTAAATTTATTTTTAATTCCTTGTGTTTATTGAACATTAATGAGAAGACATGAAGTATGAGAGAGGCATGTTATGCTGTACCGAGCCAAAGGGAGTTACAGCATTAATTTTACGTTTACAATATTTTAGCCATATAATTTTAACATTTTTTAATTCACTGAGTTGATATGACTCATGTTAAGTCTGTTTATTGGTAATTCAGTCTTTATTAAAAAAAAAAAATCGAAGGAATTAATTCTGAACTGACAACTAGACTTCTGCTGACCGAATAAAGTAAAGGTTGGAGGATTTACTCTCCACATAGGACTTTTGATATTTTAATCCTTGTGACTTTTGAGTCTCTAATTTTAGTAAAGGGACTGTCACCATAACACTGCTATGCAAGCCACTGTATTTATAGCATATGTGTGAATTTTCCTTGATTGGTTCAAATGTTCTTGACGGGTAACTATTCTGCTTTACACATGCCAAATAAACATACATCTTTAGACATGAGGCATACTCTTTCACATATACTACATAGAATAATCATTCCACTGGCAAATAATAATAATGTTTTATTGACAGGTGAGCTTCTTTCTCTTTGTCTACTTTTAAATGCGTCCATTATCACCAATCCCACTCAAACTCCCCTGACTATCCGGATCCCGTCCACATCAGAGGTTTTACCTGCTCTGCCGGCTGCCAATCCTCCAGGCCCACAGGGAGTGTCGTATTTACAACAGCCTCCAAAGGCAAAAGCTGTGGAAGGGGAGAATGTGATGTTACCCTGTTTTTTAAAAAGTGATATGGATGAAGTACTGGCTGTGGAGAAGGTGCGCTGGTATGTACAGAGTTTGGAGGAAAGGAGGAATGTTCTACATGGAAATGAGACGGTGGAGGATGTGTTTGCTGGTCGTGTGTTTTTGTCTGGTGATCTGCCTATGGGAAATCTATCTATGACACTGAGGAACATTTCAGTGGAAGATCAAGGATTATATTTGTGTGCCTTCATATCAACAAACTCAACTGTTCTTCATGGAGGTGGGACCAAACTCAGCATCCGTAAAGAGCTGGGTGAGAGAGAATTAGTTTAGTTTACAAACCAATATTCAGATACATCATTTAATTTTATACATATATTTATCTTTTAATGAATCTATGGCCTGTTAAACTCAAGGAAGACCTTAAAGGGATGGTTAACCCTGATGAATTTAAAAAACTGCTGTTATTTTACTCACCCTCAGGCCATCCAAGATGTAGGTGTCTTTTTTTTTCATCAGTAGAACAGTAAAGATGATTTTTAGCCATAACCGTGGTCCTTGGTGATGCGTGAAATACAAGTCAACTGCTGCCATTACTTTGAGAATCAGAAAACATACAGGCAAAACAAAATGTAGTGACGGCACCCAGTAACTTGCATTATAAGAATCGGACCACGGTTTCAGCTAAAATGTTTTGTTTGTTTTTTTACATTTCTACTGAAGAAAAAAAGGTGAGTAAATTAACAGCAAATTTCCATTTTTGGGTGAATCCTCCCTTTTGTGATTTTCTTAGTGCAATTCAAATCACGGATATTAAAGTTAAATTGTATTGAAACCATTAAAAAAACATTCTGTTACTTGAATAAAACAGTAACTGAAAAAAAAACTGAAACTGTTTTTTCAGCTGGTTGCCAGCATTTTCATTTTGATGTATTAAAATAATTAAAGTGAAATAAAAATGTATGGAAACTATACATTTTAAAAAAAGTAATACAAAAACTAAAAATGTAGTTTTTTTATTTAAAAATTAAACTGAGAACATAAAATATAAAAATACCTATAAAAACTTTTAAAATTTAAATTTAGCATAAAAATTATGGCATGTGCCAATAATCTGTTATGACTAATAAATATTAACGTGAAAAAATCAAATGGTTTATATGTGAACGCCAGATAACTGAATAAATGTGAACATATGAAGTACTGTTTTTAAAGAGGCAATTACAATCATTCATCTGAGACAATGACAGATTACAGTGAGAATATACCTTTTTTCATCAAATGCCCACTCAGGTGTGATCGAAGAGTCGGTGGGCACTATGATTGGCATCGTTGTGGCAGTTGTTGGCGTGGCAGCGGGGCTGGTTGCTGTGATTCTGACTCAGTTCAGGGACAAACTAAACTGCCTGCCGAAATGAAGTGGGAGTCGCGGCTTTGGTGGTTCAAAGTGTGGAGAGGTTACAGTGAAGGCCAAAGGTAAAAGAGAACAAGCTTACATACTCTCACAGTCAAACTGCCAAGAACTGACCACTGACCTCAGTGCTTGAGAGAATTACATGAGTAAACTGTGAGACATTTAGCTTACCCCATGTTCTGAATGATAAAATAGACGAATACATGTGACCCCCTCAAACATGCACACCCCATCAGATCTAATATAAAAGAGCAAGAGCAGCTGAGTTATGAACTATTGAGCTTTTGTGAGCTTTTGTGAGCTTTTTTACCATTTCAAAATTTATATTTACGTTTAATCATTTAGCTGACGCTTTTATCCAAAGCGGCTTACAATTGCTATATATGTCAGAGGTCGCACGCTTCTGGAGCAACTAGGGGTTAAGTGTCTTGCTCAGGGACACATTGGTGTCTCGCAGTGGATTCGAACCTGGGTCTCTCACACCAAAAGGCATGTGTCTTATCCACTGTGCCATCACCACCATCATGGATTATCTGGAAAATACCTGGATTTCTGCATGAATGGTTCCTTAGATGAAAAATTGTTTTTTTTTAATCTAGTCTGCTGTGTTGTATGTTCTCTGTATCAAAATCAGTCTTTTCATATGATCATAACAACATAGGACAGATGTAAGTTATCAGACTCTGATCTGATGTAGGTTCTTTGCATACCTCACGTTGGGTAGATTGACTTGTACCAGACTATCATTAGGAAGTAATATCAATCAGAAACTGACCTTATATCAGCACTTAACACTAAACACATTTTTTCTCTCAAGAGATGCCTAATCTTAATACTTGTTCTGTGCTTCAGTATACTGGTTTAATTAAAGAACTTATTTGCAAAGTTCTTCATTTTCACCTACATGCCTTTTGTAAGTCCCACGAGGACATTCACTTCAGAAATAGCTGGTTGAGAACTGTTTTTTTTTTGTGACTGGTTTTGTCCCATGGTTTGTTTACTGTTTAAATCCCCATCTATCCTTCTGACACATATAAACAAAGTTTATAAAGTTCTAATAAAAAAATAATAATAATAAAATAAAGTTTTATTATTCAGTGTGTCGGGTGAATTTCCTCGTCTCATGTAACTACACATGCATCCACAGGCTGAAAAATGTCCATGAGGCCAGATCAACACTGCATTACCGTTCAGAAGTTTGGGGTCAGTACTTCACTTTTTATTTCTTTCAAAGAAATGAATAGTTTTATTCAGCTAGGACGCATTAAATTGATCAAAAGTCACAGTGAAGACTTAAATTGTTACAGAAGATTTCTATTTCAAATAAGCACTGTTCTTTTAAACTTAATTCATCAGAGGACCCTGTAAAGAGTGTTTTCAACAATAATAGAAAATAAATGTAATTGAGCACAAAATCAGAATATTAGAATGACTTCTGGAGGATCATGTGACACTGAAGACTGGAGTAATGATCCTGAAAATGTAGTGTTTTTTTAAATATATAAAAGTAGAAAATGATCTTACCAACCCTGAACATTTGAACAGTTGTATGTAAACAATCTATTTTTGTTATTATAAAACAGAGTCATTTAAACAGTTTCCAATCATTTAATTCTTTGGAACTGAACACACAACAAATGTACCACTACAGAAGCCACAATAATCTACACACACACACACACACACACTCCCAACTCACACAAGCTCACTCACATGAATATGATAAACAGTCAAAGGAACACACATAAAGCAGAAATCACATTCATGAGACAAAACAAGATACAAATAAATAAGGGAAGCCTCAATGATCCCTTTCTGACTTGAATTGTTCCCAGTATAACACATTTCTATTGGTCACAGAGAAAAAAAAGGAGATGGGAATAAAACACTGTGCTCCCCGTGCTCCAAACACATGCAACAAGGACTCATGGGAAAGGTGGTGTGAAAAAGAGATGAATTTTGTTTTTGTGCTTCCAGTGTTCTCAGCACAGAGAGCTCACAGAGGCATTTGCTTAAGATGCTAAAATACAATCTTGCAGTTCAAACACCAAGTAAAAGCCATAGCTATAGAGTGAGAACACTCCGTTTACGCTTTATAAAGACCATATTCAGATTAGCGATGGCTACTGGCTCCGACTTTCATTCGTTGAGATCAGCTGAACAGCTTTAGTGTATATTAAGACGAGAGGTACACATGCACAAGGGAGCACTGGGAAATGCACTGCACAGCACGGGGGGGGGGGGGGGGGGGTCAAGTGAGGTCAAAGGTTGCTTTTAGTCCTCAAGAGTGCGGAACGAATTCTGCATGTCTTCCAGCAGTTGAGCGTAGTCAGCTTTGATCTTTGCTTCACCCTCTTTGACCGGATCCTACAAAACACACACGCATTATGTAAAATTGGTCAATGTCAGCTGAATGAAATTACTGTAAATAATCAAATAAAAAAGAAGTTTATATATGTTTTTTTAAAATGTATAATAATACATTATATTTTATAAATAATAAATACATTTTTAATATTTTAATACTAAAATAATGATGGTTTGTGGTAATGTATACTATTATAGTATTTATTCATATTTTGAATATACATTTTATATATATATATATATATATATATATTTTCGCTTTCGCTCTGATAATTACTGCAATGTTATCATATCCGATTATACTTTTGAATTATCGACGCAAGAACATACATTATTAACTCATTTACTAACGCTATTCTAGAATATTAAGAATAGTCTTCCGCATATTTTGTAGCTTATAGAAACAAACATATTTAAGCGTAAAAATAAGAAAAATTGTCTGCACGAGTCGCCTAGGCTGTGTGACAGTGGGAGATTGGCGAATTTCTCCGTTTTGAAGCAATTTATTTTGTAACTACAATATTCTAAGATTAGAGTAAACGTTATAATTACCTATGCAATGTGTAGAACAGGCTTGCGGATATCAATAAAACATGTCGTCAAATTATTTTTGAGAGGATTCTTTTTTTTTTTTGTTATATTTGAACTATGCCACAACTTATTTGTATTTAAATGTAAAATTCATACAATAAACATGGTTAAAAACATTGAACCATAGTGATGTATGACAAGCCAGTCAAAGCTCAAACACAGACACGTGACACGCTAAACGCTCTAATCACACACTTCAATGAGTTCATTATCAAATGTAAAATTATTAATTTTGTCTCTAGGAAGCTGCATTCAAATCCATTTCAAATCCTGTATACACAAAGTGGATTGTCTTTATAAAATGTATTTTAATTAAATGATCTGTACATAATGAATAAGTACTAGTACTTAATGTAATATATACTAGTATCTAAAAACAAGTACTAGTAGCATGAAAATATATACTAGTAGATTTTAAGGATTAAATGTTAAAACTGCTTGCAATAGCATGTGCTCTGGTGTCAACGCAATTTTTCAATAATTAAATTTTTTTTCAATGGTTTTAGTTTCAATTAACATCAACTCCGAAACACTGAATTAAACTAAGCAAATCGAAATTGGTCATTGACTACATCATCAAGAGAATCCTGTGGTCGAGGATCTTTACTTCTACACTAATCCCAACATCAATACTTGAGTAACACTACCTTGAACTTCATGGAACTGATCCGATAAAGAATTTCTCCCATGTGTTCACGGATCTGCGCCCAGGTGATCTTATTATCGCTCTGTGCTGTGGTTTCAACAGCATGCCGGGACAGGTCATAAAAAGCAATCATATTGGACAGGATGCCCACTGTCTTATAGAAGGGACAGAACCTAGAAGAGAAATAGACAGGGAGATAATGTAGAAAATAATTAGTACAGACTGACAAACAGACTACTAGAACAACGAGAAATCAAAACACAGGGGCTGTGGGGAATGTCACAATCTTTATTGTACAGATGATGACTTTACCTGTCATACGGAGTGTAACCGTTCTGCTGCAGGAAGTCATCTTTAATAAGTTTGGCCACCTCCAGAGTGATTTTATCTGTCTCAGCCAGGGATGCCTAAAGGTAAGGAAAGAAAATAAACCCAGGCATGCGTTCAGAATCAATATTAAAATATTCTATAACATATATACATTTAAAAAATAAAAAAAAATCAAATATCCCTATAGAAAAAAATGCAAAACGCAAACAACATGTGCCAGAAGCCGAATACCTTATTCGGAAAGGCACGGAGAATGGCTTCAAAATGAATAACAAATTCTACTGGATAATAGGCAAAAAAAATTCGACAGACACAGTTACTCTTAGTGTTTGCAAGATAACAGGGGAGCTAGTGAATATTATACATAAAGCTCTAAAATCACTACGCAGTAATAATTTAAACTTTATTAATTAAATGAGCAGAGTTATATTATATATATATTTATATATAATGACAAACAATAACTAAGACACAAACACACCTTTCCAACCAGTTGCACAATCTCAGCCAGATCCTCCTCCTCCTGCAGAATCTCTTTGGCTTTGGTACGCAGCGGCACAAACTCTTGGAAGTGTTTGTCATAGTACTCATCCAGAGCTCGTGTATATTTACTGTAACTGATAAGCCAGTTAACAGAGGGGAAGTGTTTCCTCTGGGCGAGCTTCTTATCTAGACCCCAGAACACCTGAGCGCAACAGTTCAAATGAGAAGAGAAATAATGAAAGATACTACTTCACTGCTTTATTTAAAAGAGTTAAATGAATAAATCCACCCACCTGCACAATACCAAGAGTGGCAGAAGTCACAGGATCGGAGAAGTCACCACCAGGGGGAGACACGCTAAAGAGAAACATTCATTTCAAAATGTGTGGAAAGAACAGCTATAACGCCCCACACAACAGTTATATTTTTATAAACGAAGTCTGTAGAAACTTACGCTCCCACAATGCTGACGCTGCCCTCTCTCTCTGGGTTACCCAGGCACTTCACTCGCCCTGCTCTCTCATAGAACGATGCCAGACGGGCTCCAAGGTATGCGGGATACCCACTATCTGTGGGAGGAAAACAGG